ACGCACAGCGCCACCCGCGTCCCTAATTATTTGCAACCATAATCCGGTCCAAAGGTCCATCCGGAGGTCAAAACGGGTTGCTGGGAGAGGCACTGTTGTGCGCAGGCACGGGCAGCGATTGCCTGATTCTGTGTATGTATGAACGGCGATCACTGCTCTTGCGCATGCGCAAACAGTGGCAAACCCGCCAGTTACTTCCAGGTTTGCCGCGGTCGTGACTTGGAATGACTGTAGGAAGAGGCGGTGGTAAGTAGAGGTTTGACTGTGTTGTTGTTGTTGTTAGATGTTGCTAGACTCCAACTCTCATCATTCCTGACCATTCGCCATGTTGGGTCGGGCTGATGGGAGATGGAGCCCCACAAATTCCCCTTCCCTGCCTCAGCTGTTAGCTATTTCATTGTGACATGAGCTTCTGTAGGCAAAAGTCAGCTTTCCCCAGATATGTGACAGGAGAAGACAGCAGATAAAAGTCCAATAGAAGCCAAGCCAAGCTAAGGATATAAGAAATGGATCTTTGCAACAGGGGTGCCAACTTGAATAAAATATTGAGGAGGCCCAGGTAAGCCCTGCCCTACATAACTGATCACTCCAATATTTTACGGGGAGGCCAAGACCTCTCGACCCCAGGAGTTGGCTCCTATGTTCTGCACTCATGGGAAGCACTGGCTAGGAGTTTTTAGGCTATAGGTTCCTGCACCTAGTGCAACCATTATCCTGGATAGTTGACATCAGTGTTGAACCTGGGACTTTTCCAATGAGATGGGCCAATGGATGCTTTGTTATCATGTTTGGATTGTGTGTTTGAGTTGGCAAACCCTCCTCTGGAAAGACTGATTTATGGTGCAACTGGTCTGGGAAAATTAATGAGCAGACGCTTAGACTTTATTACGTCGGAACAGACTAAAATGGTGCCTGCCGCTCGAGCAGGACTGTTGGATCAGCGTGTTGTGATTTAAGGAGAGCCTTACAAAGTTCACACAGAAGAATAACAATGTTTGGTTTAACTCACCTGCGGAAACAACTCAGAGGTTATTAAGGGGGGGAAATGATAACAACAAGAAGACTGGAAGATGGGATTTGTGCACATCAAAAGCAGCAGAAATATGAGATGATTGGACCCTCACTGAGCTCGAAACATGGGAACCCCCAACAAAATTTAAAATTTGGCAAAATATTCGGACTACATAATATGTATTGGTATAATTTTGAATAATTAATGTGACATGATTGGATTGTTAAATGGGAAACTTAATAAAAATTATTATAAAAAAAAATAGATGGGCCAATGGATGCATAACAATTAGTCCATAGTTGTTAACCACATATGAAGTCTATGGAATGACAGAATTGGAATATAGCGAGCCTTGTTTATCTCAAGTCATTTCAAGAATATCTTCTTTTGATCCCTCAGTTTCCAAGAAAAAGCATGCTTAATTTCTTTGCAGTCTCAAACCACTTTCTCTTAAGCTACTGCAATCGTCTTTGAAGAACTGGACCCAAAGGGACCCATCAATAACTTGCTCCTGAAATGTGCCAAAGCTATAGAAACAGGATGGGTGAACAAAGCAAGGATATTTTGGGTGTCAACGTTCTACTTTTTCCATTCATGAGGCCTATCCACACATCAATATCCAAATATTGAATCTCCATGTGCCCAGTGCCAATTCCAGGTCTTCTGGGTCCCTTGTGTAAGATAGCCTCGGTAGAGCTCCTGCATGGTTTCCATTCATTAGTTATATTAATAAATATCATAGTTCCCCTAGGCCAGCAGCATCCCAAACGGCAATGCGGTGGAGCTACCTTCATTCATGAGCAGGACCAGAGCACAACAGCCATCTCCCCACTTGTAATTCCCAGCCACTGGGATTCAGAGGCAATATGCGGAGGTACAACATAATTATTGTGGCAAGTAGATGTGAATGGGGCTTTAATAATGTGCTGGTGTGCATATGGCTTAATATCATATCAATATACTTTTACCATTAGAACTTGGGAAAAGCAGGAATTTCATGACAATGGGTCTACTTATTAAAGAATGGATTAGCAGTTTATTGCTTCTGCCATTAATATAATAAGCCAGGTACAAGAGAAGGAGGAGCAGATCATGACAACAGGTCTTTGTGCAAACTAAGGCCACGCCAAGCTCCTGAGTGCTAACTCATTAGGGTTCCCCCCTTGTTTTGGCCGACATAAATAATCTCAGCAATTAGGCAGCAAGCAATTATCTGCATCTTCAGCAAGTAGACAGAAAGCACCCTCTGAAAATGCTGCATGCAGCACATCGGTAGATGATGCTGGATCTCTCAGCGGCCTTTGATACAATCAACCATAACATCCTTCTGGACCATCTAGAGGGGCTGGGAGCTGGGGGCACTGTTATACAGTGGTTTCGCTCCTTCCTCCTGGGCCGTGTTCAGAAAGTGGTGGTGGGGGATGAGTGTTCAGACCCCTGGGCCCTCACTTGTGGGGTGCCTCAGGGTTCTGTCCTCTCCCCCATGCTTTTTAACATCTATATGAAGCCGCTGGGAGAGATCATCAGGGGGTTTGGACTGGGCGTCCATCAATATGCAGATGATACCCAGCTCTACCTCTCTTTCAAATCAGAACCAGTGAAGGCAGTGAAGGTCCTGTGTGAGTGCCCGGAGGCGGTTGGAGGATGGATGGCGGCTAATGGATTGAGGTTGAATCCTGACAAGACAGAAGTACTGTTTTTGGGGGACAGGAGGCGGGCAGGTGTGGAGGATTCCCTGGTCCTGAATGGGGTAACTGTGCCCTTGAAGGACCAGGTGCGCAGCCTGGTAGTCATTTTGGACTCACAGCTGTCCATGGAGGCGCAGGTCGATTCTGTATCCAGGGCAGCTGTCTACCAACTCCACCTGGTACGCAGGCTGAGACCCTACCTGCCCGCGGACTGTCTCGCCAGAGTGGTGCATGCTCTAGTTATCTCCCACTTGGACTACTGCAATGCGCTCTATGTGGGGCTACCTTTGAAGGTGACCCGGAAACTACAACTAATCCAGAATGCGGCAGCTAGACTGGTGACTGGGAGCGGCCGCCGAGACCACATAACACCGGTCTTGAAAGACCTACATTGGCTCCCAGTACGTTTCCGAGCACAATTCAAAGTGTTGGTGTTGACCTTTAAAGCGCAAAACGGCCTCGGCCCAGTATACCTGAAGGAGCATCTCCACCCCCATCATTCTGCCCGGACGCTGAGGTGCAGCGCCGAGGGCCTTCTGGTGGTTCCCTCATTGCGAGAAGCAAAGCTACAGGGAACCAGGCAGAGGGCCTTCTCGGTAGTGGCACCCGCCCTGTGGAACACCCTCCCATCAGATGTCAAAGAGAATAACAACTGCCTGACATTCAGAAGACATCTTAAGGGAAGTTTTTAATGTGTGACATTTTAGTGTATTTTTGGTCTCTGTGGAAGCCGCCCAGAGTGGCTGGGGAAACCCAGCCAGATGGGCGGGGTACAAATAATAAATTATTATTATTATTATTATTATTATTATTATTATTATTATTATTATTATTTCGATCCAGACCTTTGGAAAACATGTTTGAGGCTGCACATGTGCTGTTAGCATGCCTCGGACCTTGCCGACAGCATCGCCAAAAGAAGAGGGTGGAAGTGATTTGCATACGATTTGCATATGCTACATTTTTGAGAAATAACAACTATGGTTTTCAGGGGTCAGCAGACTTTTTCAGCAGGGGGGCGGTCCACTGTCCCTCAGACCTTGTGGGGGCCCGGACTATATTGTGTGGGGGTTTTTTTGGGGGGGGGGAATGAACGAATTCCTATGCCCCACAAATAACCCAGAGATGCATTTTAAATAAAAGGACACATTCTATTCATGTAAAAACACACTGATTCCCAGACCATCCACGGGCCGGATTTAGAAGGTGAGTGGGCCAGATCCGGGCCCCGGGCCTTAGTTTGCCTACCCATGGTTTAAATAGTAGCACAGTACACATCACCAGTGCTAATTAGGACTCTGCCAGCAGGCTTGCCCAGTGGGGAAGGGAATTAAAACAGGAATGCGGCCCTCCAAATCTCTCTGTCAGGCCCTTGGAACTCTTCCCAGGCTCCACACCCTCTTTTCCCAAGCCACACTTCATACCACCTTGCTTCACATTCTTCTTGAGTTTTTTTTGCCTTGCTGCAAGGGATCCTCGAACTCTTGCTTGCCTGCATGGAGGATAAAGAAGGGTGTCTGAGGGTACGTAGACGTTAGCCTACAGTACAGAGGTATTGTTTGCATTTGCTTAACCCCCCCTTGCCTCTGGCCCTGCCCACCACTGGCATGTGGCCCTCAAAAGGTTGCCTGGGAGGGGATGTGGCCCTTAAGCTGATTTAAAATTTCCCACAATGCAATGCCTGGAACTTGCCAGGGTGCATTGGTGCCAGGGCCTTACTGAGGGCATCTGGTGCCAATTCTGACCCTGAGAAGGACATTCCATCTACCCACATCGTTCTCGTAGCACAAAGTCCACAGTAAATGGTGTGGTTTTTTTGGGGGGGAGGATACAGCTCCTTGTCAAGGGCACAAAGGACCCTAAGTATGTCTCTTATTTTCAGAAACATGTTTAGAGAGCAAAACAAGACAAAGAATGAAACAAACAAAGCACTTTTTTAAAAAGCAACTTAAAAGACAAGAAGAAAAGGGCAGAGGTGAAGAAAACTGTGGATGTGTGGAAGGAAATATTGCAACTTAGCCTGTGACTGCCGGGTGAACTCTCTCAAGGCAAAAAAAAAAAAAGAGTATTAGGTTGGGAAATGTTAATTTCCCAGGTTACCAGGGAAGAAGGCAGGGTCTGAAACCTCCTCAGGTGGAACAGGCATGGAAAAGCATTAAGTTTCCAAACTCCACCTCCACTTAGAGATCTCTTGCTGTTCTGTAGGCAGATATATATGCACACACATAGACCTGCAGACTGTACCTCCTCATCCATCCAGAATACACAGCACCCACCACTAAACCAGAGAGTTGAAGCTACTGGTCTCAGCCTCTTCTGTCTTCGCGTCATCCATGATGTGGGAACTCCGCTCCGTGGCCTTCACTCGAGCTGTCCTTGCCGAATTTCTAGCTACGCTGCTCTTCATCTTCTTTGGGCTGGGGGCAGCACTCAACTGGCCTGTGTCCCCACCCAATGTTCTCCAGATCTCGCTGGCTTTTGGCTTGGCTATAGCGACCTTGGTCCAGGCTGTGGGTCATGTCAGCGGGGCCCATATTAACCCTGCTGTGACTGTTGCATGCCTCGTAGGCTCCCAGGTCTCCTTCCTGAGGGCCATCTTCTACGTGATGGCGCAGATCCTGGGAGCTGTGACAGGGGCAGCCCTCCTGCATCAAATCACACCACCTCACATCCGAGGAAGCTTGTCCATCAACAGGGTAAGGATTCCAGGACCTGCAAAAGTGGGAGGGGTGGAGGATTAAAGCAGGGTGTGTCCATACTAGGATGTTCAAGAAACCCAGATTAGTCTCTTGCATTGCTCTTTTGCTAAAAAGAAATCACGGACCCCAGTTTCTCTCTATTCTCTATTCCTGCCTCTCCTCCAAGGAGCTTGGGGCTACCTAGATCAGGCATAGGCAAACTCAGCCCTCCAGATGTTTTGGGACTACAATTCCCATCATCCCTGACCACTGGTCCTGTTAGCTAGGGATGATGGGAGTTGTAGTCCCAAAACATCTGGAGGGCCGAGTTTGCCTATGCCTGACCTAGATGGTCCTCTCCCTTTCCACATTAGCTTCACAACATCCTTGTGAAGTAACTTAGTCTGAGAGATGATGACTGGCCTAAGGTCACCCAGTGTGCTTCATGGCTGGGTGGGGATTTGAGCCCAAGTCTTGTGTGCCCTGGGACATGGGTGGCTCTGTGGGTTAAACCACAGAGCCTAGGACTAGCCAATCAGAAGGTTGGAGGTTTGAATCCCCATGACGGGGTGAGCTCCCGTTGCTCGGTCCCTGCTCCTGCCAACCTAGCAGTTCGAAAGCGCAAGTAGATAAATAGGTACTGCTCCGGCGGGAAGGTAAACGGCGTTTCCGTGCGCTGCTCTGGTTCGCCAGAAGTGGCTTAGTCATGCTGGCCACATGACCCGGAAGCTGTACGCCGGCTCCCTTGGCCAATAAAGCGAGATGAGCGTTGCAACCCCAGAGTCGGTCACGACTGGACCTAATGGTCAGGGATCCCTTTACCTTTACCTTTACCTTGTGTGTCCTAGACCTGTCCAACACCTTACGTTACCAGACTGGCCCACTGCTGACATCCTTCAGTACAATCCAGGATTGTGGAAGACAAATTGCAATGAGACTCCTGTTCTGATCCATAGCAGTGACAGCTAGACTTTGTTGTAGGCTGTTATAAGCAAAAAAAAATTTTTTGCAGGGGAGGGGGCTCCCAATTTAGTTTGATTATACACCTGTATAGGTTAGGCCAGTCCTTCCCAAACTTGGGTCTTCTGCTGTTTCTTGACTACAATTCCCATCATCCTTGACCACTGGCCTTACTAGCTAGGGATGATAGGAGTTGTAGTCCAAAAACCTCTGGAGACCCAAGTTTGGGAAATACTGGATTAGGCAATTGTTCTGGGTTTAAAAAGATTCAGACAGAACTATCAATGGTGAGTGCAAATTAAAAGAAGCTAGATTATCACGAACCACTTAAAACTACAGCTTAAGAGGCACATTTACCTGTTGTGTGTTGTTGCCATTAAAACAGAAATAAAGGGAAAAACTAGCTTTTCCAGTACCTTACTAAGAGGGAAAGGGAGAAGAGCAGCAGCAAAATGAACAGGTGAGAAAGCACAAAGGAAGGAGTTTGGAAGCTGAAAGGTGGTGGACTATTGAGGCATGGGATGACGTTAGAGATTCACAGGTTGAAGAAAGGAATTGACCTTGTTGCATCCTTGACTTGGTATATGATGGGTTTGAATCAGTTTGTTTTGGCTCACACAAAGGGCTTCTCAAGCCTAGTGCTTATTTTGGGTGTGTTCTGCAACATGTTCTTGACACAATAATAGTGCGTGGATTGATTCTGCTTTGTTAGTTCATCTGTGATGCTTCCCAGCGTAACCGCATTACAGTGGTAACTCGGGTTATATACGCTTCAGGTTATAGACACTTCAGGTTACAGACTCCGCTAACCCAGAAATAGTACCTCAGGTTAAGAACTTTGCTTCAGGATGAGAACAGAAATCACGCGGCGGAGGTGCAGCAGCCCCATTAGCTAAAGTGGTGCTTCAGGTTAAGAACAGTTTCAGGTTAAGAATAGACCTCCAGAACGAATTAAGTACGTAACCAGAGGTACCACTGTATTGCTGCCCAGAGGATTGATATCACAGTAACAGTGGGGGGGGGGCAGAGTCTTTGTGTTATGAAAAGATAGGGGATTTCAATGGGAAGTTACAGGATGTGCACCCTTTAGAAATGAAGCAGTGTGAGCACCCCAAAACTTTTGCAGGTACAAACAATATTGAAAGGGTGTGTGTGTTTGACTGCTCCAATAGCATCATGAGTGCAAATAAGGATGAATGTGCAAAAAAAAAGGTTGTCTAGAGGGGCCCTAAACTGGGGTGTTCCCCAGCTTTGGAGAGAGAAAATTTCTATTTAATCTGAACTAATTTGATTTAACCATATGTACATTCAAATGTTTTTGAAAAGTTTAACAATCCAATTATCGACTTATCCTTGTTATATTTTGCAGAGTACTAACCTAGGGGCCATCTCAGTGTTGCATGTCATGTGCGAATTGCTCACAGTGTGAAATCATCTTCTTTTGAAAAACGTCCAAAACTTTAGAGTTTCCTAGCACAAACCCCCTCCCTGCATCTCCTTGTCTGAAAATCGCAGGTTCCATCCATTCTGCCAGCAAACTCCATGCTACTACCAAAAAATGATTTTGTGGTGCATCTGTTGACTTCCACTTTGTCAACAAATTGCCTGAGATTTCAGGCAATGAGGTGATGTTTATTTGAGCCTGTAAGCAGACCTTTTGAGCTAAATATTGTTTTCTGTTCACAGCCCTAATCATTATCAACATACCGATTTTACTCAACCCAGTCATAAAATCAGGACGCTTACATACTTATAATTATGTTCAGTTAGGTTCTAGAGCTGCTAAATGCACATCCATCCAGTTGTCATAATGAGCATTCTTCGAGAATGATTATGACTCTCAGTGTTATAGTTTCTTGGCATTAGTCAGGAGATAGCTCATGATACTACTGTGCGAGGTAGCTTATTAAAGTTTACTTCAGGGGTCAGCAACCCTTTTCAGCCAGGCCGGACTATATTCTGGGAGAAAAAATGAACGAATTCCTATGCCCCACAAATAACCCAGAGATGCATTTTAAATAAAGGCACACATTCTACTCATGTAAAAACACCAGGCAGGCCCCACAAATAACCCAGAGATGCATTTTAAATAAAAGGATACATTCTACTCATATAAGAACATGCTGATTGCTGGACCGTCCATGGGCCAGATTTAGAAGGTGATTTGGCCAGATCCGGGCCCCGGGCCTTAGGTTGCCTGCCCCTGGTTTACTTCTTTGTTCTGCTAGAACAAATAGCATGCTTTTGTTGACAGTTCCCTTTTGGTCAAACTGCACTTTGTAGAGCTTTAGCACAAAGGTAGAAGATAGATGGAATGACACAGTAAGAGCCAATGTGGTACTCTCCAAACATTTGGGATTACAACTCCCATCAACCCTAGCCAGCACAGCCGATGATCAGGGATGATGGGAGTTGTAGTCCACCAATATCTGGAGGGCTCCACGTTGGCTACTCGGAGGGGTGTGTGGAGAGGAAACATGAATTCTCCAGGAAACAAATTAGGGGAAGAGGAAGCTGAGGTAGTATGAATAAGGATAACTGCTCCAGACATAATGGTATTAGGTATAATAAATCTAGTACCCACCATTCTCTTCTGAACTCAATGTTCTCATTGGGAACCACATTAATTAAATAGCTAGGTTTGAAAGGCATGAAATTTTGGAAATTCTTCCAGAAGCTGACAAGTTGCCATAAAGCCATATGTGCTGGAACATTCACAGGATTACCACAACCTCTTGGATGATGCAATGCTCTGGGATCCTTTCCCTTCTCTCCATGGACTCAGTTCTGATTCTTATCACTCAGTTTACTTCCCTAATGAGCTACTGACTGAGTCACATCAGGCATCACCACTGGACAAGGAGGAAAACAATTTCTTTGACAGCATGAATTGCCATACATCTTCTGTAGGGCTGTTGTGTGTGTTCCATGATTCCCAGAGTGTGCTACAGAATGCAAATGTTGTCATTAGAGCATCAGATTCTGCACTTCGACATTAATGTACAATGTTTCATTACAGTGGTACCTCAGGTTACAGACACTTCAGGTTACAGACTCCGCTAACCCAGAAATAGTACCTCGGGTTAAGAACTTTGCTTCAGGATGAGAACAGAAATCATGCGGCAGTGGTACAGCGGCAGCAGGAGGCCCCATTAGCTAAAGTGGTACCTCAAGTTAAGAACAGTTTCAGGTTAAGAACGGACCTCCGGAACGAATTAAGTTCTTAACCCGAGGTACCACTGTATTTCTAAGTAAAGCAAGACTCTATGCTTCAAAGAGAAGCTTGGGCAATGACTGAGAGATCTCATATGTTTGGGATAGGGAGCTCTTCCTCACCCCATCCCACTTCCTTGCCAGCAGGATAATAAATTGCACAAATGGTGTAGTTTTAGAGTGACCTCAGTGTGGAATGCTAGCTTGCAGGAGTGCTCCTGTGAGCCACACCCAGAACAATCATGTGGAAAGAACTTGAACCACCCCTAGACACAATTTGTGTTCTACCAAGATGAATGCAGTCATGTATGGTGGTGTACCAGAGGCTCAATAAATCTCCTGTTTTTGCTCCTTGATTTGGGCTGTCCAAGAACAGAGAGGTTGTCTACTACTGGTCAAGCCACAGCATCTCTCCAGAACAATACAGTTAGGCAGGTCTGAGCTTTAGCTGTGCCTTTTTCAAGCTAGGCATAAGCATATCAGGAATCTGTGCAGTCATGTATTCAAAATTTCAATAGTGAAGCATGTTTATATTTATTGTGTCCAGCAGGGCAAGTGCGTCACAGATGAAAATCTTTGCTGTTGCCAGAATGCCAGTGGCATTGCAAATCATTCTCTTCCCCACCTGCCCACAACTTACATAAGATTAAGGCAAATCAAAATGCCATTGTAGTTGCAAAAGAGGCAAATAATAGAGATGTTATCTTTGTGTTCATTCAAGGTTGTCAACAGATAACTATTGCAGAGACCTTGTGCCAAAGTGGAAACAAAGGTTCACCCAAGTGCACACACACACACACACACACACACACACACTTATCACTATTTGCTAAAAATATATATCCCATAATCAGTTGCATTGCTCACACTCATAACTGCCCTCTGTGACACAGTCACATAGCCAAATGCTAGTAGTTATGCCACCTTCCCCTTCAGTGTGTGATACAATGGCAAGAATCTTCAAGGAAGTGCTTAATTTTCTTCTATTTTTTTCAGGTACACAATAATACAACATCAGGTCAGGCGGTGACCATGGAACTGTTCCTCACCTTCCAGTTGGTCCTGTGCATTTTTGCCTCAACTGATGACCGCAGGGGCGATAACCTGGGATCCCCAGCCTTGTCCATTGGTTTCTCTGTTGTCCTGGGTCACCTGCTTGGGGTGTGTATCTCAAGAGCATTTATTGACAACTGTTGAGTATGCATGGATTAAAATACTGACAGCAGGGCATGTGTTCCCTGTGTTTAAGAGGGTGCAGTACACCCATCTTAGCTTCCCAGGGCTGGGAGAACAGGAGGAAAGGTTGGTGTTGGGACTGCATCAGTTTCAATTTTTCATTCTAATCCAACTGTTTTGGTTGGGTGGAAATTTCTCCTGACACCCAGTTCAAATGTTCAAATATACATCTCTTTAAAAATAAATCCTCTTCAACACTGCTGTTTCCTCTGGGCTGCTGAAACTTCAGTGCCATTCTCTACCCCCACCCCTTTGCTGCTTCCACCTCCTTGGATAATAATAATAATAATAATAATAATAATAATAATAATAATAATAATTTATTTATACCCCGCCCATCTGGCTGGGTTTCCCCAGCCACTCTGGGCGGCTTCCAACAAAACACTAAAATACAATAACCTATTAAACATTAAAAGCTTCCCTAAACAGGGCTGCCTTCAGATGTCTTCTAAAAGTTTGGTAGTTATTTTTCTCTTTGACATGGCGGGAGGGCGTTCCACAGGGCAGGTGCCACTACTGAGAAGGCCCTCTTCCTGGTTCCCTGTAACTTGGCTTCTTGCAGCTTCTTGCAGTGAGGGAACCGCCAGAAGTTCCTTGGTGCTGGACCTCAGTGTCCAGGCAGAACGATGGAGGCGGAGACGATCCTTCAGGTATACTGGACTGAGGCCGTTTAGGGATTAATAGCATTGCACATCCCAACCAATCAGAGATCACATCTTGAACAAGATGACATCATCTTTATATGTATATATAATTTCTATTAGATTTTCTAATTTACATCTCAAAATAGTCATTTAAACAACCTTAAATCAAGGACTTCCCTTCTTCTCTATCCATGGTTCATTTTGCATACCACACATCCCTGCATATGTTACATGAACTAAACCATTCAGTAATCCATCGTTACAGCCATCAAAACTTATTTACACTGTTGAACTTATCTTAATGCTACCAGCACTTTTAATTAAACAAAATTTTCATCCATATATTCAGTAAACACCATCAACTGGTACCTAGTCAGACTTGGCTAGAAGACATGGGGGCGAGTTAAATGAATGTGTGAATATTTTCACAAGGACACACAAACACATTTCCCAAAAGGTAGGATGCAAGGCATTATTATATTTATTTTTAGTGCAGCCCAAAATATGTTCATATGAAATGGTGTTGACTCAGCCCTGGCTTAGCAGGTAATCATTTTCATTTTCATCATTTTCTTCAGAAGTAAATAACTGGGTGAGTTTTAGGTAATGATTACCATTAGCTGAAGCACTGCTCAAGGACTTCTTCTTGCTCAATGGGACTTCCCCCCACTCTCCTCTTCCTACATCCCTCAAACTGACCAGGGGGTCAGGAGAACCTCCGGAATATGGGAGGGGAGAGGGGAGATTGCTCCAATGGCAAGCCCAAAAGCTTGCCCTGACTGAATGATTGTTTTAGTGCAAGGTTGAATTTCTTCCCAAAATTATTCTTGTTTTACGGATAGAAAAATGAGCCACAGAGAAATGAAAAGGCTAGTGGATCAAAGCTTCCGAAACAAAATGTCACAATAGCATAGTTGTTGGCCTAATGTTAGCATTAAGATAGAAAAGGAGTAAGTTGAGCATTTCTTAGTGAAACAACTTTCCAGTGAAAAATCTGGTAATAATAATAGCAAGCAGCTTCTACTCAGAAGACTGGATTTTGAGGTCCTCAAAGACACAGACTTCCACCACAGGCCCAACTAGCATACAGTGTCTGGGGAAGCAATAAAATATTCCCTGTTTCTTTGAGTATATCTTAATCTATGAATGGCTCCCAGCTCTCTTTCTTGATTGGCTAGAACTGGGAAGCAGGGCTGGTGAGATCATGGAAATTCTACAAGCAAGGACTCTCTTGCCCTCTTAAATATCCCGCCCCCCAGTCTTTGCCCCTCTGCCTTTGGGCTGCTTCCTCAGATATTTGCTACTAACTCATGACAGCTTAACTGCAATAAGGGTTTTTCCATGTGATATGTGACTCTCATGTGAGCTAGTGACTATTAACTGGCCTGCTGTCACTCATTCACAGTGAGATTGTGTACATGTTTGCTCAGAAGGAAGTCCCATTGTGTTTAATGAGACTTAAAGGTAAAGGGAACCCTGACAATTAAGTCCAGTTGTGAACGACTCTGGGGTTGTGGCGCTCATCTCATTTTACTGGCCGAGGGAGCCAACGTTTGTCCACAGACAGTTTTTCCAGGTCATGTGGCCAGCATGACTAAGTCGCTTCTGGCGAAACCAGAGCAGTGCACAGAAACGCCATTTACCTTCTTGCCGGAGTGCTACCTATTTATCTACTTGCACTTTTGATGTGCTTTCAAACTGCTAGGTGGGAAAGAGCTGGGACCAAACAACGGGAGCTCACCCCATTGAGGGGATTCGTACCACCGACCTTTCAATCGGCAAGCCCAAGCGGCACAGTGGTTTAACCCACAGCGCCACCCGCATTCCTTTAATGGGGCTTAATCCCAGGTAAATGTGCACAAAACTGCAATCTAAGAATGCTCTATCCAGCTCCTAAGCCTTGGGATGAGTCAAATACAACCCATAGGCCACATCTTAGTCACTCCTTAGCACCAGAGGTATTGAAGCACTGCACTACATAAGGCATCTGATGTTGTTCTCTCTGAAGAGCTAGAGATAGTTCAAGAATTCTTCTGAAAGCCATGACCAAGCTCCTTAATCCACAGGAGTACATGCTCTGCCATTAGCAACAATCTCTTATGACAGCTACAGCCGCGCTTGACTCCACTTGCATTCTTTAAAGCCACGAGGCCAAACTTCACATGTAATGAAGATCTATTAGTGGATTTATCAACTTTTAAAAAATGAATCAATCTTGGTCTAAGGCTGCATCCCTAGTTACCTGGGAGCACACCCTACAGAATTTAACAGGACTTACTTCTGAGTATATATGAGGTTAGGATTGCACTATAAATCTCCCCTACCCCACTAGCTGTTTTTTCTTTGGGGGGGGGGAACAAGGCCTCAAGATTGGCCTTGGATCTATGTGTTTAGTAGTAGTAGTAGTAGTAGTAGTATTCTGTTTCTATTTTTTTTAAAAGATATTTATTAAAATTTTCAAGAAAATCCAGAAAAAAGAAAAAAGAAAGAAAGAAAAATTAAAAACACTCAACATTTACAATCCTTATTTTCAATAACCTATTTCCACGACTTCCCCATGCCTCCCCTTCTTGTATTCCATTTCCAATTGTTTGTTCAACAAGTTCTTGTCCCCAATTTTTAACCTTATTATATTTAGTTCATTATTATATTTAATTCATTTTATGTATCCAATTTTAACTTATATACATCAGTTTTTATACGTCAGTACTCCTTCTTAAAACCTTTTTCTAAGGTCGACCCAAATTCCCTTCCACGATTTCCCCATTTTTATACTAATAACAAAACAAAATAAAAAGAATCAAAATACAATTGTACACCCTTTGGATTCCCAAACCCCACCCCCCCTTTCCCGGTTTCGATCCCCAACCAATGTCCATCAGTCTATCTGCTATCAGCCTGGAGACCTCACGTCTGAGGCTCTTAATTCTCTCTCAGTTCCTCTCTGCCGGTTTTTTTTATAGTCCTTTGTATTAAACACCAAATCTCGGAGAAGCTCTGTCCCAATAATGTCCATGTTTCTTCCAGCCAGACCTCCATATTTAAAAGTGGAGCTCAAATCTTGTTTCTTAATCCTTTTAAATCCAAATGTCCCAAAAGCTCCAGCTTCCACCTTGATCAAATTTGTAATCCATAGATCTTCAGATCTCCACAAAAGGGGATCCCTCCATTCTTCATTCTTCAATTCAAACCAGATTTTCATCATCCAGTTCTTATTTTCCTTTGTATCCATCTTGACAGGCCTCTGGCTCTCCTTTGCCATCTGCTGCATTGCGGCCCCTCCTTCCTGTTCCTCCTGATCAGCATATATCTCTTTCTCCACTTCCTCAAATTTCTCAGATTTCTTTTCTTGTTCAGCTGCATAGACTTTTTGAATCAAGTCCTTATCCAACTCAGTAAGTTTATTTACTGTTGACTTCAAAGTTGTGACACCTGTAGCCAAAACATCACTTTGCTCTTGCAACTTTCCCAAGAGAAAAAAAAACCTTGTCAAGTTCAGCCTGTATTTTTCCACCTGCAGCCATTCTTGTAATGTCCCTGAACCCCCTCTAGAGGGATTCTGGTTATTTAGTATTCCTTCCAGTTCCAACCCAAAAGTCAAGTTAACTTGTTTCAGTTCTTCTTTGTTTCCAACAATTTATAACTATATTGTAACAAATATAACCAGCAAAGACAACAGAAACAAAGTTCTCTATTTTTTTCCAACTTTGACAGCTAGTTTGACAGCTGTCAAAATCTTCTATGTCTCCTCAACAGTCTCTCTCTCGTGGATCACTCCCGGGTCCCGGGGGGGTGGCACTTCAGCTCACAAAATTAACTCTTATCCTCCAGCAAGATTGCTTATACTGCCAAATCGTGCAATTAATAACTTTATCCAATAAAAAAGAAGATGTTCTCTCGACCTTAGTTATCTAGTCCTTGCTTCAAGTTGTTTACAAGGTGGGGAGACGGACTTCCTCTTTGTGCCTTCCTCGATCGTGCCGAATTCAAACAAAAAATTTCCTTTTATAAATCCAATTTCCATATTGCTCACGGGTTGTTACTTTTAGTCCAAAGGTTCAAAGGAAGAAGTCAGCGCTCTCCGACCATGGCATGCGGCTTCACTCCGTAGGAGAAGCAGTCGACTCTCAGCACCACGCCGCTCCCCGTCCCCCATTCCAAAGCCTTTAAAAAGGCTCCTTCTCGGGTCGGGGGGGCGCAAATGGTGCCCGCCGAGTCACCAGGTCCACAGGCTTCAGCGCCTGTGGTTTCTGAGGGTCCCCGCGTCGCCGCCGCGGCATAACCTGTCTCCTACTGAGCCGATTCCCTCTGGAGCTCGGAGGGAATCCGCCATTAGACGATGGCGCTAACCCGGAAGTCCTGTATTCTGTTTCTAAGTCACGTTGTGGTCTCTCTGCTACAGCCTGTGTTTCAGATTCCAAACCACTCTGTATAAGATGAAGCTCTTTATTCCCCATTCATTAGGATGGAGAATATTAAAATAGATAGAACTTTTCCACCTTTTGGCCAAAGTAGATGAAATTTACAGGCATGGGAGCTCCTCCAAAGTGGATTAAGACTGACAAATTGCAGACAACTAAATCCAGAGGGTTTTATGGGGGAACTAGAAGATTTTTACTTTCCTCCATAACTCACATTAGTTTCATATTTTGCATGGAGTGTGGAGGAAGAGGGCTTTGTCTCTTGCTCTTTTTTACCTTAAAACAGGCATAAGCAAACTCCGGCCCTCCAGATGTTTGGGACTACAATTCCCATCATTCCTAACCACTGGTCCTGTTAGCTAGGGATGATGGGAATTGTAGTCCCAAACATTTGGAGGGCTGGAGTTTACATATGCCTGCCTTAAAAGAATTAAGAGCCAAAGTGGTGTGCATTCTTGCCTGTATATTTCTAACAACTTCACAGCTTCACAGCTTCACACCTTACTTTCCCCTATCAGGTAGACCTTCCAACATGAGACTGTCTAGAACCAGTGGAGGTTGACCAATTATGGCAAATGGGGTGTTGCCCACAAGCCTCTCTCTGCCTTCAGCCATCCCCCCTCTGTCTGCCTTCTAATTTATATTCAGCACAGGGGATGGTGCCTGCTGTGAGCTTCCTCTTCCTAATCCTCAGTGTTGCCATGATGGAACTCAGTAATGAGGAGGATGGGTGCAAAGTTAAATTTACCGTAATTGGTTCTGCCTGGTATGGTCTTTTTGTCTCCTACCCTACCAGTCCCAATGATCACTAGTCACCATGGTCTAGGATATGGACTGTGGGACTCTGAAAACTTCTGGCTTGTTGTTCCTTAATGAAGAACAACATAGAAAGGTGTGGTTTTTTAAAAAAGCAAACTTTTAGGTTTTTTTAAAATTATCTACTGCTGTGCATTAACAAAATAATTAACAACAAGAACAACAACAACACAGACATTTTCAGAAACTCCACTGGGAATATTCTGGGCAGCCTTACTTCTTGCAGAGAAAGTAAGACCTAGAGAAAATAAGAAAGGGTGAAAAATCTCACATCACCCCGATTTCCTTCTTTATGGGGACTCTACATAGAACTGACACACACCCTTAAAAAAGATGCTAAAGCTGATGATAGATTCCCTCCATGCATTAAAGGAAAATGTCAGAAGAGCTAACCACAGATATTTATCATATTTACACCCTGCCCTTCCTCCAGCATGCACAGTTCTTTCTGTCTCAACCCCTTTCATCCTCACATTGATCCTGTGAAGTGCATTAGGCTGGGGGACAGTCACTGACCCAAGGTCACCCAGTGGACTTCATGGGTGAGTGCAGATTTGAACCTGCATCTGCCCACTCTAACCACTACACCACCCCCCTTTCACCATGTATTGTTTGACCTTCCAAAGAGTGATTGCGAAAGTATCCTTAAACAACTAATAATAGAAAATCCAAGCTTTCATCCAAGTGTCATGTTTTTTTAATTATTATTTCATAAAATGTATATACCACTTGATTATAAAAAAAGACCTCAAAGTGGTTTACCAAAAGATAAAACAATAAAATCAAGGGGGGGGTGGACGGGACACACGACTCAAGCATCCTTTATTTGGTGAAGCTCTTTCAGAAAATGTTTCCCTTATCAGGTGACCTTTAAAAGTCACACACTAAAGAGTTGCACTGATTCTCTGGGAAAGACCCATAGAAACAGTCCCGTATACTCACAGCGTTGAGGAAGCACTGTGAGATGAATAAGCATTTTCCGCAGTCCTTCTGTACCATTTACAGCCCACATGGCTCTGTAGTAAGAAGCATTTGGTGAGACAGAAATAATGTACTTATCTGAGGCCCTCAGGCATGCCCTAGGCCCTCATCTCCTGCCTGATGGCTGCCACTGGATGCCCAAGAACCATGGGAAAGGGCTGATGACCAGATGATACTTGGGGGTCTTGGGAAACTGATAAAATATAATGACCCTTGATGTTTCCACAAGAACAGTCTCAATATTTTTGGCATTATTTATTTCCCCCTCTTTAACTCAACAAGTCACTACCCACATAAAGGTAATGTTTTGACTCCAACACTAATATCCATAGCAATAAATGCATTTCTTTCCCCCCCTAGATCTACTACACTGGCTGCTCCATGAACCCTGCTAGATCTTTCGGTCCTGCTGTGATTGTGGGTGAATTTGACAACCACTGGGTAAGACTCCTAATGGATTGTGCCCAGTAGTGGTGGTGGAGCAGAACTTCAGAGCTATCCTCCTGATACTAGCATCACTGCTGTTTACCTGGATGGGGATGAGCTGGGGCAGCAACCAGCAAGGTCAGGGCCACATGAGTGCACCAGTGAGAGGGTCAGGTGGGTGGAGGGGGTCCTGCCACTGTACCTGCATGGCCCCAACCTCCCCACAACTCTGCCCATCCCCACTGAGATAAGTATAATGCTGGTGTTAGGATGACAGTTCTATTGCTCTGCCCCAGCACACATTTCACTGCTGCCTATAGCATACCTATGGCTGATAGAGGTGAGTGTGAGGAGAAGGTGGAGGGAATGATGGAGGTTCTTATACATGGAGCCAGCCTTGCATTCATGCATGTTCACAGCAGACAAGATTGCATCCCCTCCTGTTCTGAGAGATACGGCTTTTGGGAGACATAGAGAAACAGGATGTACGAGAGCTGGAAAACAGCAAGCCTAACAACTCAAAACAACATTTTGGGAATCTCCAAAATGCAAAACAGCAACAAAACAGGGTCAGTGTTTTCACAGGCACATGTACCAGTAATTGGAACCATCCCTGGTAAAATACAGACCATTGAAGCATATGCAAGACCAACCCAAGGCCTGGGCCAGATGAGATGCTTATGGCCATGTGGATTTCCCTACTTTTCAGGGATCAGAAAGCCTGTTGGCAAAGGAAGACTATTATGTGGATACAAGAGCTGCCAACTGAAAGAAAGATGTAGTGATTGGCAACAAGAACCATAGGCAAGTTTTTCTTTGGTGATCACTTGTAGCCAAGTAAGATTGTCTTCCATTGGTTGAATTGGTTTAAAGCCAGAAAAGGCTTAAGTGGCTTGTTCTTTGTGACTCGGCAGTAGATTAAAAACCCCATTCTGGTTCTAGTTAACACCTGAATGAGTTCTTCAGATTCTGGTTTTAGCCAGCTTTAGGGTAGTTTTTTCATTGGATCTTTCTTTCGTCTATTTTTTTAATATGGAGACAACTTAACATTTGTGTTCAATGAGGTGAAAGAATGAAGGAAGTAAAAGCTATTAGCAAGTTTGGCAGATATCCATTGATTCTTTAACTTCCCACATATTGGGCCAAACCAAAAACACATGTGATAAGGCTTTATTATTATTATTATAGTAGTTATGAAGCATCCCTGAGCTGCCCTGTTGTAACAAAGAAGGCTGCCATTCACCGAACTACTTGGATTCTTGAGAGCAGGGCAGAGAGGAGGGCCCAGAGATAAAATGAGGCAGTAATTATAGCTCAGTAACAACAGCTATAACTGCTTAGCATCAAATGCTAAGCAGGTTCAACAGTGGCAAATAGCTGGATATGGAACAATAGAGGGCCATTGCCTTTGATCTGTTATAGGCAACACTTTCTTGATTTCTTAGGGGAAGAACTGTAACTCAGAGACAGAGTTTTGCAACTCTGCAAAAGTTCTGCAACTTTTGCTTGCAGAAAGTACCAGGTTCAATCACCAAGCAGAAGAGAGGACATGAGTTCAACAGAAGTTGGGGGTGGAAAGAGTTGGTTAATGCAGATGGGGTTGGGAAGAGGAAGTGGTCCAGAACAGCAAGGAGAAAGCCAGAGGGAGGAATCTGAAAGGAGCAGGAGAACTGGGAGAGTAAAGGATTGGAGGGGGACGCTGCATGTCACCAGGAGCTGCCGACATGAGGAACTGCACATGAAACTGGAATGGCCAACTAAATATTTGGCCAAAAGCTATTTGATAATCTTGAGTTTTCCAGCTGCGCCGACACACCCATACCTCTTTCCCCCTAATTACATTAATTGCAATATATTGGAAAAAATCTTTAATGCCCTATTGTGGGAAACCTTGAACTAGAATTGTGAGGTCTAATGGGGGAGGAGCTATCTTCTATACTACACTTAATCTTAGCCAAAAGGCTGAGAAGCAATGCTACCTTCTATAAATGGTTTGGTACCAGAATTTATCCAAGAATGTTCACCCTGGTCAACCATCAACCTTGTATCTCTTTCATTCTCTCCTTTCCTCCCTCAGGTCTTCTGGCTGGGTCCAATGGCTGGAGCGGTGGTGGCTTCCTTGCTCTACCACTATGCTCTCTTCCCCCATGCAAAGACCCTCTCGGAGCGGCTAGCAATCTTCAAAGGCTACGAGCCGGAAGAAGACTGGGAGGAGCGTGATGTTCGCAGGAGGCAATCGATGGAGCTCCACTCCCCACAGACCCTGCCTCGAAGTGTGATGGAGAAAGTCTAGGCCAACCCCGATGAACAGTGAAAGGAGCAGGCTATAGCTAGCTACATCCACTGGTGTTTTCTTCTGGCTCAAACGTGCATTCATCTTCATGTTGTCAATGCACAATGAATATCTCCCCTGGGAGCAGAATGGTCATCTGTGATGGGCCACCTGTGGAGCTTAAATCTTTAGCTCAGGCTGTAAGAGAAGTGCCCATTGCTCTGAAAGATTCTCCCGAGGAGATTTAAGATCCACTTATTGATCAGTGGAAACCATCACATGCCACCACCTTGTGCATCCTGACAAATTAATGAAAGAACATTGTTTTTTCTTCTTCCATGAGTCTAGTTATCTAAACTTCATGTGGATCTCTAGAATTTGGCTCAAAGAGTCATTGACCATGACGGTCCAGCTATACAAAATGGTTTCTGGGCATTTCCCTTGAAGAAATAACAGCCACAACTTTTAGAGTTCTCACGTTGGCATTCTGAGTGATGAACTGCTAAAAAGCAAGGGCAAAATTTGCATTATTGATCCTAAGCATGATTACCCAAGTGCAATTCATGATCTATTCAGTGGGACTTACTTCCAAGTGATCATGATTACAATAAGCCCTGTCAGACAAATTGGGACTTTCTTCTGAATAAGCGTGCTAGAATTGCACCACTAATCTTGCAGACGTCAGCCAAATCCTTTAGCTTCCCTGCAAAGTTCTTACTCTGCACAGAGCAAGTCGTTCTTTTGTGAGGGTTTGAGCACTTATTAAAATGCATGCGAGTGTATTAAACGAAAGCAGAATGACTGTCCAGAAAATAATTAGGATAAGCCCATGCCTATTGATCAAAGCCACACACAGTGTTCTCAATATGTGTTCATAGCCAACCCTGATTTTACCCTTCTTGTATCACAGAGTTAACTTTTTCCACTTTTCTTTCTTAACCCTCTTACCTCCACTTCCACTGGCGCACTCAAATTGTGGAATGGCACACTTGGCAAGGACCAAAGAGAAGAACCAGCCCCAATTAGATTACACACCATCCTCTGCCCACCTCCATTTTTCTGTGCATGCATATTAGCCGTTGAGAAAGTTTTATAGTCTTATACATGTCCTTTATCATCACTAATGACTGTGACTTTTGCCTAGCCAAACAGATCAACCTATTGCTTTCAGCATTTTTCTGAATGTTGGGGAGGTGTGAGTGTTTAGACTGTGTGGTGTGTATGTTGCCTTTAAAATGCTTTGATGAATGTTACTTACTTGTGCTGCTAAGCAAATGTGATCCTCTTCCTCATAGTTTTGGGGTACCTTTTCATACCATGATCTGGTTTTTGTAAACTACATCTTTTTGTGTTTGGCACAGCACACCCTAGATTCTGCTGGGTCATATGCTTGTGCACAACCTTACTTGACAACCTAATGTAAACTTTGCCTTAACAGGGCAAAGATGTTGGATGGATCAGTACCTGTCAAATAAAACAGAAGCTAAAAAGCATCAACCTGAAAATATTTACTTCCCGTATTGCCACACTAGTTCCTTTTGCTTTTCCCCCAACCCCAGATACATTGGTACCTCGGCTTAAGTACTTATATCGTACCAGAGGTCCATTCTTAACCTGAAACTGTTCTTAACCTGAAGCACCACTTTAGCTAATGGGGCCTTCTACTGAGCACGATTTCTGTTCTCATCCTGAAGCAAAGTTCTTAACCTGAGGAACTATTTCTGGGTTAGTGGAGTCTGTAACCTGAAGCATATGTAACCCGAGGTACCACTGTACTGCTTTTCATTTTTTTAAAATGCATTTTGTAGAAAGCAGCAGTGCCATGATATAAGAAAATACAAGAGTACAGCCCGATTGATCAAGAGATTGTGCTGTAATCAGTGCAGGGGTGTAAGAAGGGGGGCAGTGGGAGCAGCCCACCCCGGGTGCCCTCACAGAGGAGGGTGACATTCAGTGCGCCACCTGCCCGTGACTCCCAAGCCTACCCTGAGCCATCAAGGTAAGAGGGGGAGCTGCGTCGCTTTGCCAACAGCATTCCTCCCATCCCACTTCATTCTGACAGCTTGGGGGAGGCTTGGGAGTCACGGGTGGGTGATGCACCGAATGTCCACCATGGGTGGCTCGCTCCATCCCTGTGGGCAGCTTGCTCCACCCCTGTGGGCGGCTTGCTCCGCCCCCAGCTGCAGGGCGCATGCACCTCACCAAGCACCCGAGCAGCTATCTCATGCCTGGGAGGGAGCGCGTCACGCCCCCCTCGGGAGCCCCCCTCGGGAGCGCGCCCACCGTGGGCAGCACAGGCATATGCTGCACCTCTGAATCGGTGTGCTCTGTGACAATTCCCAAAGGCAGCTGAATAGTGCAGAGATGTCATTCTGCTCTCCAGGAATTCTTCCTTTTATTTTTATTACAAGCCAAGTAGAATATATACAGTGGTGCCCCGCAAGACGAATGCCTCGCAAGACGGAAAACCCGCTAGACGAAAGGGTTTTCTGTTTTTGAGTTGCTTCGCAAGACGATTTTCCCTATGGGCTTGCTTCGCAAGACGAAACGTCTTGCTAGTCTTGCGATTTTTTTTTCCGCTTCCCCCCCCTTTTGCTAAGCCGCTAAGCCGCTAATAGCCTTTTAGCCGCTAAGCCGCTAAGCCTTTAATAGCCGCTAAGCCGCTAATAGTGCTAATCCGCTTAGCCGCTAATAGGGTTGCTTCGCAAGACGAAAAAACCGCTAGACGAAGAGAATCGCGGAACGGATTCTTTTCGTCTTGCGAGGCACCACTGTACAACCTCCCAGGGCAGGGAAATGCAACTGAGTTACTAAACAAAGCAGTGTGGAAGAAAAACTTTTCCAGTTCCTGCAAGCAGAAAAGGCACCACATGGAAAATCCAATTTGGATTTAAGAACACAATGCAGTGATTTACCTTAGTGGACCAAAGCAGCCGGAGCGAAACCGTAGCTCCAGCACAAACAGAAGCTCTTTGTGACCTTGGCACACTGATACGATGGGACGATAACATACCTCTGTTCCCTGCTTTGTTCTGTGACCTTGGATAAACCACTGGTGGCCAGGTGCTTATGAGCCATTGTACCTACACACTCGAGGGTTAGGGCGTGGAAGCGGTGATAGTGTGGCATTGTAACGGCATTGCAAGCTGAGCCAGTCCTTATTTATGATGCGATCGCGTTGGTAGTAATGGCTGCTACTGACAGGTATCATGTAATGGCATGAAGCCAAGGCTCGCGCAGCCCAGGATTGTAAAGATAAGGAAGCAGTGTGACAAGGAAGAAAGCAGAAGGTGGTGCATCTACAGCTGTGATCACACAGACACAATTTTCAGTAGAAATGGCCAAACTGGATAAGGCATTGCCATTTTTTAATTATTTTTATTATTTTAAAAATTCCTCTAGTACTCTTCATAGCTGTCAACTTACAGATTTGAAAATAAGGGACCAGCAGCCTCGAAAATAAGGGATCAGCAGCCAAAATAAGGGATTTTAGTCAACCAGCAGCCAAACGAAGCCTCAAGTGATGGTTCCCATAGCGCAGCAACCCAGCAAAGGGGAGGCAGCAAGGAAAGCCACCGTCACCTCTCCGCTGGGAAGCGCTGAGCAAAGGCGAGTTCCCAGGCAACATGGCCGATTTGATCGGCACAAGGTATGCAAGCTCCATCCCCCAGTCGTTCTTAGACTCCTTATTGGGTGAGCAACGCAGCCAAGCAACAAAGTTGGAGCCTCCCTCCTCCCTGGCTGGCAGGGAGGGAGGGAGAGGAGCTGCTTTCTTTGAAACCCAGGAAATTTAAGGGACATCACCAATAAGGGACAGCAGTGGGACACAGTGCTGGGATAAGGGAGTTTCCCACCAAATAAGGGACACTTGACAGCTATGGTACTCTGTCATCCGAGGATCACAGGGCGGTTTACAATATAAAAACACAAAAATATATAACATAGTTGATATTGCAGGGGGTTAGCCCAGAGGACCCTCGGGGTCCCTTACAACTCTATGATTCTATGAGTAACAAAATGAAACAATAACTCTCACTTACTTACTTACTTACTTTCTCTCTCTCTCTCTCTCTCTCTCTCTCTCTCTCTCACACACACACACACACACACAGAGAGTTTTAAAGGCCATAGATAGTTTAATTAGTCATGTACTCTGCCAGTGCATACCTGATTTTTGTGAAACAAATAGCTGAGTGGGGTCCACAGGAGCTGGACCATGTCGTGAGAGAGGGGTTTTTAATCCTTTGCCCACCATGCTAGTCCCAATGGCAGTCCCACCTCCACATGGTTTCTATTTTCATTCTCTTCTGGAGAGCCAGCATGGTGTAGTGGTTAAGAGCGGTAGACTCTTAATCTGGTGAACCAGGTTCGCTTCCCCACTCCTCCACATGCAGCTGCTGGGTGACCTTGGGCTAGTCACACTTCTCTGAAGTCTCTCAGCCCCACTCACCTCACAGAGTGTTTGTTGTGGGGGAGGAAGGGAAAGGAGAATGTTAGCCGCTTTGAGACTCCTTAGGGTAGTGATAAAGTGGGATATCAAATCCAAACTCCTCTTCTTCTTCTTGTGTTATAATAGTACACTATTTTCCCCCTCTGTAATGCTATGGGGCATTTTCAATTTGACACAGTACAGGACTATGTCTATGAATACCAGTCACTGGGGAGCAACAACAGGAGAGGGCTATTGTGCTTATGCTCTAACTGTGGGCTTTGCATAGGCATCTGGTTGGCCACCAGACAAGAGAGGCCTTCGTCTAATCCAGCAGAGCTCTTCTCTTGTTATGTATGTAGATCACAATGTATATTCTGGTCACTGGCCAAGGGCCTGGGCTTTTTTCCTACAGCACATGGCAAATAGCAAGTTGTCTTGTGGTACCCAGGTCAACCAAGCTATGAGTAGCAGCTACCAACTTTTTACAGTCCTGGAAAAGACAAGCCAGATTATCGTCTATTTGTGAAGCATTTTACCATGCACACATTTGCATCCCTAGATTAGGCATCTGTCAGTAACTCTAAGTGGG